TACATAATCTCCTTTTACAGGTATCAGAGTTTGAAAGAAGTTGCAGAATAAGAAATGTCTTGAGCCATTTTGTGGTGTGTTAAGTAAATAGAATTTAATTCTTCTTCAGCTGTTTGGTTGGTAAACGATATCGGTTAAACCTAAAGAACATCTTTTTTTTTTTTGATACTAAGTAGTAGTAGTGAACAATGTAGGAAAGATTTCAAATTAAACTGCTTGATCTTTCAGCAGTTTTGTCTGCCTCAATACTTTTTAAAAGATCCTTGCTTTTAAATGCATGTCTCAGTGTTTCCTAGAGTTACATCAGATAATATGTGTGGTTACATATGTCTGTGTGTATATAGAGCACAAGAGTTGCTATTTACATATTAAAGTGAAGGGGACTACAAAATGGTATGCATTTGAGAAACCTATAGAGAGAGAATATATTTATGGGGAAAAAATAGTAATTAAGTAGCAGATAGGTTGTGGAGAGGAGGAATTCTTATCTCAGGAGACAATCTGCCCTACTTTCTTTTCTCATTTTTTGAAATCTATGAATCTTTTACTTGCTTTATCACTTTTCTTGATTCCTTGCAGGCCAGAGCTGGCAGCTAAGTCTATGTTTTATCTTAAATTGTTCAAAGTTTTTTTAGAAAATGACTTACCATGCTGTGTTTGAAAGTGGTTGCCTAATTGCAGGAACCCTCCTACTGGTTACTTAGGGTCCAGGTGATCACCATTGTTTGAGTGAAATCATAATGATAGTCCCAAAACAGCTGGCAGATTGTTAAAATATATGGTCTTTTACTGCTTCTGGTTGAACACCAGGAAATGAGGGGTGTGCGCGCGTGTGTGTGCATGTGTGTGCGCACACACTCTCTAAGGGTAAAAAATCTGTTTCTTGGGCCACTCTGATCTGAATACATACAGATTAGTTTTCCACTCTGTACTATATATAGCTGTTCTCTATAGGGATGGGGCCAAGCAAATGCATTGTCCATAAATGTCCTGGTTGTTTATGCTATGGTCACTGCTCACTGCCTCTGCCTATGTCTTGGCCCTTCTGTCTTTCTCCCACTGCATTTCTAAGAATTAGTTTTGCAACACCCTGTTGTTGCTGTACTTCAGCATGACGAAATGCAGGCATGAGGTAAATGTGGCAGTATTCATGCCTCAAAAAATGAGATTCTGTGGGAATTTCTGTAGTAATTTCATTTTAGTGGGGTTTTAACTTGTGCTGAAACTTGATGTACCTCAAAGAGCTCCCTGTGATGTAAAAAGATAAAGCAGGATAGGAATTGTAGACTGTTTATGTTCAGTCTGTGTCATGGAATAATAGACTCATGTATGCTTTTCATCTTCAAAGTGTTTTTATAAATAGTAATTCCTCCCTACTACCATGTCTGAGAAGTGATTATGTAATAACCAGCATATAAGATTCTTAGGTTGAAATTTACCTTACTTACAGTTCGGTTCTTGTCCAAGAAAGTGAAAATAGAGGCCTTGTCAATCCATAGTGATCTTACATCTGCCCAAAGTGACTCTTTCAATTCTCTCCATTATATTGAGACCACTGGGAGATGGAGGTGTGTACTGTCATTAGTTAAACACCTGAGAAACTTTCTTATTTTTATGGAATGCAAGTCTTCCAAAATGTTGCCCAAAATCAGTAGGAAGTTCCTGAATGTCATTGTTTTGAATTTTTACTTAGCATATCGACTGAATTACTTACCATATTGGTCTTGAATTTTCACCCCATAGTGGTTTTTTCCTTCATTCTCTACAGCAATCTTAGTGGGATTTTTTTCTTTTATTTTGATTTTATTGTGGGTACAGCTGGTCTTGCTGTGCAATGCAAACATGTGGCAGTGGACTACACTTCAGTTTACATTAGCAGAGCGTGTGACAGTAAAAGGGTATTAGCTCAGCTGTAGTATGTTTATCTGAAAATGAGAAACAAAATCCATATAACTAAAATTTATAACCGGAATTTTACATAATTTTGGGGTTATTTTTGTTACAATATCTTTCTTTGCTCCTATTATGCCCTGTCTTGACTAGTTTTATGTTCCACCTGAGATCTAAAATTTTGGAATTTACAAAGCTTATACCATCTACTTTCTCTCTCCTTTTTCTTTTTTCATGCTGTGGTAGTAACTATGGTAAATAAGGGACATCAGACCAAAAAGATATTAGGTAAGCAGGCCTCATTTCCTCCTTTCCAAACAATCAGTGCATTGCAGAATTTGCCATCTACAGACAGCCAGATAATACGAAATTTTATTAACATCATAACGCTATAACTGCATCATTTCAGTTAACAGGGACATGATGAGAAACTTGGTCAGGATTGTCTTCAGCTGGGTCCAAGCCAGTGTTATTTAGCTTAGTTAATTAATGCATGACATTCACATATGTTTTATGTTCACATATGAACATAAAAACATCATAAATCAGAAGGGCAATTGAATCATGTATGTGTTCTTCACCAGGGCACTGTTCATACAATAATTACAAAGTAATTCACTTCTTCTTCATTCCTGCAGGGCTTGGATTGTGCCATGAGTGGTCATTTGAAAGTGTTCAGGATCTTCTCAGAGCCACATTGAAATATTGAGTCAATAATATTTGGGGGAAACTATTCAAAAATTCAGTATGGCCCTATCAGTAGTGATGTAGGAAGAGAACCAGATTTTCCAAGTACCACCTGCATAATGTGAAAGCTTAGAGAACCCCGGGTTCCATTTTGATGCAGTCACAGATTTCGGCAATGTCTTGCCTCCCAACTGTAAGACAATAATTTCCCTGCCTACAACATAATTTCTGGGTGTATCATAATTAAATGAATTCTGAAGATACTACTCCTAGTAAGTGGATAGGTCTGACATGGGGCTGATGAAAGACCTGAAGATGAAAGAAAATAATAAGTTATCATAAGAGAAATTAACTTCAGTAGGTGAGAAATTGTATAATAGTGAATATTGTCTGTCTGGACTTGTGGTAGCTGGTACCATTACTGTTTCTGTGTAGGTATGCTGGAGGACCAGTTTTTGGTAATATTGTCTAAGAAAACTTAGACTGTGAATTTTCTATTTTGCTGAGCAGAAATGTGAAACAAGAATCTGCATTTTAAAACACTTATTTCTCTTTCTTTCTTGCAGCTTGTGGCCAATGCAATCCTTTTTGTTAGTGTAAATTTGTATGGGATCTTTGTGAGGATTTTGACAGAGAGGGCTCAGAGGAAGGCGTTCCTCCAAGCCAGGAACTGCATCGAGGACCGACTGAGGCTGGAGGATGAAAATGAAAAGCAGGTCAGTTTTAAAGCTTGCTTTCTTTTCTCAGTTTCCTTTGAGATCACTGCAGTTATAAGAACTAAAGGTCAGGTCACTGCTAGATAAGGAAGTGTGTGCATTTGCCCTGCAAAAGAGGAACGTTCCCTCTTCTCTTGCCCACTTCAGCTCTTCCTCCCCAATGTATACGCACGCTTCTCGCTTGATCTGGAGCAAGCACAGCACGTGTACGTCCCACTCCACCACTACCGTTGGTCCCAGCACTGCAGTGGATGCATTTGAAAGTCATGGGAAAGTTATCATTGCAATCTTAAGTTCCTATTTTATTTATTAATTTATTTTTCTGCATATATGTTAACTGATTGGTGTTAGTACACTGTAAAAATGTCTCCTGCTTGTTTACACTATCACTCATGACACTCATGAACAAAACTTATATTTGGGGGAGAATGGCCTGAATAGCTATACCTGAATTAATGTGATAATTGCTCCTTTTCTCAAAAGCAGCATCATTAGTATGATGTTTTATTTCACTCAGTGAAATCAACCTTCCAAGCAGATTTAGAAACAAGGAGAAAAGTCACTACTACATTATCAGAGTTTGCTAACATTCATATATTGCTTTATAAGTCTAAATCCTAAACCTACTAATATCAGGTGATTAATGGAGGTTTGGATCAAACCTTTTGTTCCCTATAGGTGATAACAGAGAGCTATTCTCTCAGCTGAAGTAGCTACAGCTCTGACTTAGTGGAATTATGGTAACTTCTGCCAATATAGGAGTTAAGTGGTATTCAAACTTTGCTGTACAAGATGAGGTCCTTGAGGCTTGTATACTTTACCCCTTTACTTCCAGTTCCTGTAATAGGTCTATTTCTATACTTGAAGTAATGCATGTGCTTAAATACTGTTTTGCTATGAATTCTGTGAATGTATTTTTAACACTAACATACTCTGTAGTTAGTAGAGAAAACTCCTCTTTGACCAACTGCATTGGATGGCTGGGTAACATAGTATTAAGATCAAATCCTTAGGTTTGATTATGAGATTTTTGTAACCCAAAACTACAGACTTTTCAGGGGCATAAATGCGAAATGAGTGAATTTCTGTAGGGTTTAGGCAGCTATTTGCATTTTCGAAAACCTGCCCATGGGTTCTGACATGAAAATATGCTTGTTCTTTTGTATTTCTCTAATTATATAAATTGCAAGGTATCTTATTTTATATTCATGTTTTTAGAACCACAAGAAAACAAAAATATTACACATAAAGCATTATTGATTGAATAATAATAATATAATATTGAAAAGTGACATAAATGTTTTTCTAATGCAGTACACGGGTCAAGGAAGAGAATATGCCTTACACTTTTAAAAAGTGAGATTAACTTTATGCATTACAGCATAAAACTCAATGCAGTAGTGACACATGTTAATTAGCTGTCAAGAGTACTGTCAAAAAACATACTTTTAAAACCCAGATAGGAATTAAGTTCTTATTACAAGCTACAAAATTATTCTGCACAGACTGTGGCGTAATGTAGTCCAAATTTCCAGATGGTAACCCTTGGAGTATTTCAGAGGAGAAAGAGATTGTGCTGACCTGGTCCAATAGTTACATTCATTACTGTATTTCTATTTTCTGAAGTACAAATGCTACATGTTACAAAGGCTGAAACTTTTCATCAGACTTTTTTTGTTTTTTTGTCTTATTCAAATGCTCTGACCTAAATACTGCAGCCCTTTTACATTAAGAATTGTAAACCAAAATGCTAAATATTTATCAGCTAAAAGCTGATATTTCTGTGCAAATCTCTGTTGGAACAGAAAAAAAAAAAAAAAGATCCTGTTGACTTTTGAGCATATACACAGCCTTCTAGAGCTAAAGTGTTGACTCACACATCTGAGTCATCTGTGACAGATCTGCAGTATCTGTAAGTGAGACTGCTTCCTCTGTGTCCTACTTATAGCAATTCTCCTCTTGTGGGATACATTTGTAGTAATAGTCACACATGATAATAAGACTATTTTTAGGATCAAGAGCAAGGACCTTATATTGTAGTCTTTTCAGAGCCCTTGTGTCAAAGTGTGCAAGTAGGCTTTGGAAGAAGGAGCATTGGTACGGAGGAGAACAGACTGACTGTGAGACTGCGAGGTTTTTTTTTTAATTCACTTTAATGTTCATCATTTTTCCTGTTCTCTGTGTCAAGATAAGTAGCCTCCACTGTGGTGTAATGCATTTGTTATCTTGCTAAATGTTAGACTATGATTTGAGAGCAACAACAGTAGCCAAGTTCCACAGACCAAATTAGTTTTATAACGTGAAAAAATAATTATGATCATTCTTTTAGAAAAATCTTGTTGTTGTCATTGTCTATAAATCCCAGGAGCAACACAATCCTTTGCAGAGCAAGAAAAATAAATATTGTGAGGTGGGTCTCTTTTCCTATGTAACCGGAACTGTGCTCCATTGTGCTTTCAGTTGAAGCACTTGAGATCTTCCCCTTTATTCTAATTGTATCCTCTCTCTGCAGTCACCTTATTAAACTAAGATTACCCCTTGCCTTTATGGCAAGCATGACATCGTCACCTTGTGCACTAGAAGGACTTCTTGCATTGCAGGTCCCTACCAGTCATGATGTTAGACTCCAGGCAGTGCTTCAGCCTTTCCAAAGGGAGTAGGAAGGGGACGAGCTGGGATGGGGAAAGGGTGACATCCTTCTCAGCAGAGAAAGAGAAGTGTTCTGCTAAATCTTCCTAAGTCAGAAGTGCAACTGGACCATAGTTTAAATTGTTCCATTTTTCTAGTTTCTCTTTTGGAATGTATAGATATTTTTGTCCTCCATGTAATTCTGTGAGAGTGAATGTCACTCTAATTATGCACTTTGTGAAAAAGAGCTTCCTTTTTATTTGTTATAGACTTATTGTCTAGTGACTTCTTGGGTAGTCTCCAGCTCTTGTTTTGTGATGAAATTATGAGTAATTATCCTCAGTAACCCTTTTTTTTTTTCCCTCTTTCATGCCAGTCATGACATTGTAGGCTTTCCACATTTCCCTGCTCATCTTTCTTTCCTAAGTGAAGAATTGTCATGTATTTAGTTTCTGCATGCATGCAGGCTATTTCTTCCCTCTAATCCTGCTGACTTTGTGACAAATATTGCTCACTAGGATTTTTTTCCTGAGTATTTTTATACATATTAATGCATTTAATTTGGGAATAAAGGAAATAATTTCCATCAGTGAAATGCACTTGCCAGCAGCACAGACTGATGTGAAAAGTGCCTGTTGTTTTCATATGAGAAAGGCTGGAAAAATATTTGACTTTGTACAAACCTCCAAAACCCAGAAAGCAGCTTTGATATCTTCAGGGTTTTTTGTTGTTATTTTGTTTGTTTGTTTTGTTTTAAGTTTTGCGTGTTTTGTTTTGTTTTCATTGCATAAGTACAAGTAAATCTTGTCTGAAAAACAGAGCTATCTTTCTATCAAGTTGTTTAGGTCTTTCCTTCCCTCTGAATCTTATATATGTACTTACACCGATTAGAGAATGCTGGTGGGAAAACACTTGGTAAACAGTAAATTGGCAAAAACGGCTTTCTGATCATCTTAAAATTCTTTCTGTGAATTTTAATTTAACCTCTCAAATAGTCAGGATTGAAGAAATACATTTGGTAGTGTGTATGTGTCTATAGATATCTAACTAATACTGGAGAATGAGGCAGGGTCAACAAAAACCACCACGAGGCTTAGCATGGAATGCTCTGAACTTCTGCCTAGGACGTTTGGGGTTCAAATTCCCAACTGGGTTCAGATCCTCCTTCAAAACAACCTAATCTCTATTTTTTCCACATTTTGGATGTATGTACTGCTTTCTGTACCTTTGGTAAAAGCGTGATGCTAGTAACAACCCTCTGTTAGTTTTGTCCATTATATTTCATTTTAAGCATTTGTGGAAAAAAAGGAAACAGAATAGACTGTTTGAATAAAACAAAATATGTTGGACTTTTATTACGATAATGGATAATACGCCATTGGTGTTTGTTTTTTTGGTTCTGTTTTATTTTTATTTTTTCCCAATTCAGCAATCTAACTGAAAAATTAGTGATTTGCAGAGCTTCAGGCAGAAGTAATTTCCAGGATGCTTGACAGCATGCTTATCAGTGCCTAATCAAGTTCTCCTCGTGTTTCTCATATTTCTTTATTCTCAGAATCCTGCATGTTTCTTTTCCATAGCAGGGCAAAACAAAATAGAAATTTTATCATTAAAACACAGGCCCTGATTCCATAATCATTTAACCTGGCTCTGTGCATTAGCAAATCACCCTGGAGCAAAAATTTCATCTGGATCATGTGTGAGCATAGGAACATATTCTTGGCATATTATTTGGAGTGTGCAACAGGGAAGCGGTCCTGGTTTTATGCGAACTGCAGGACAAGAGATGATATCTGATCCTCTGTAAAAGCCAGCCAATACAATCTTTGAAAAATGTAGGTGGATTAACTAATTTTAGCTGGAAGGTTGAGTCTGTACATTTGCACTGTGTGCCATGCTACAAGAAGCCCTAAAATTGAATTTATTGTACCATTAAACTATAGCTTTGAACAGTGAAATCCACCTTCAGAAATCCATTCACCTGTCCCTAGTATGGGCCACTCGTGTGGTGGCCACCAATGCTCCTTGGCCAAGTAGCAGTAGTAGCAGCATCACAGATGGGAACTTGTCCTGGCTGCTTTTTGGCAGGCAGAGATGCGTTATTTGCCTTATCAATGGGTTTCTTCTCACCTAATTTGGCCATCTAAAACTGGAGCATCTAAACTAATTTTGTAATCCCGAGGCCTCTTGGCAGTGATAGGAATATCCAAGGGCAATTCTACCCTCCTATCTTGAAAACTTAACTGAAGAATATTTTTTTGTTTGTTTGCTTGTTTGTTTTTTGGGTGTAGTTGTAGAGGGAGATTATACTTAGATTATAAACTAAACTATAGATTATAGTTATACGGGGAGATATAAGATAAATAATAGTA